GTATCTTAGGCTTCTTTTTCCTTTTTGGCTCAGCAATATTAATTATATCACAAGTAATATTTATTATGACTATGGGATTCTTAAAGAATATAAACAAATTGTAACCAAAACACCATGTATGTGTGTATTTGGGTACACATTAACCCATACAGTAAAGAATCTTGTGTGGACTATCTAGATTGCATATAATTAAATTAGTTATAAACAAAAAAGTGAATTTTATAGCATGCCTTCTATTAAAAAATTAACTGGTTAACAGCTGTATCAGCAAGCAAAGACAAATTAAATTTGAAATATGTCCAGGGTCCCTTCTTGCTCTTTGTAGCTCAAGACCGTAGGACTCGGTGGAGAGCCAGAGGTGCTTGCATAGCCAAGGCTATTTAACCGCACCCGTTACCCCGGCCTAGCACACACCTGCTGCACGGGGTCCCATGCGTGTCTCTTCACCTGATGTGCTGATGTCCTGGCGAAAGGTTAGCTCCAGGGAGACAGAGAGAAGGGGGCGCACTTTCACCTCAGAAATGTTTGATTTGGGTTCTTTTGCTAGAGATGGCATATTGCTGTTACAGATTTCACACACGTGTGCACACACACACACAGAGAGAGGGAGAGAGGGAGGGTGAGGAAGGGTGCGCCTGACATTCGCTCCGTATTTCACCTGAGATGACACCCGAGTCCCTGTCTCCTTACAGGCTGGGCGTTGGCCCAAGGCCCTGGCGCCGGCACCCTGCAGTTGTGACGGGGTGAGGGTGGGGTCCACCCGAGGCAGGCGTCTCCACCCGACCTGTCTCGTGCCTTGGGGCCGTGCCACGATGGATCAAAAATCCAGTGGACATTTAAAGTTAAAAACACAACAGCAAAAACATTTATCGCGGTAAAAGAGGCATTGCCGTGAATCCTCCTCCGAGCCCTGCCCTGCCTTGAAGCCCTCCCAGGCAGTCCTGCCGCTGTCTGAAGCAGCTCTGGAAATCCACCTTCCCGAGGGTCTGCGTGCGGTGTGATCAAAAATGCAGTGACAGCTGCTGCTGTGCCACCCACCGAGTGGCAGCCGGTCCTCACCACGCATGTCCTCGTCCATCTCGCTCACTGGCCTGGCGCCGTGCGACTCCAGGTTCTTCCTCAGGGTCAGGATGACCATGGAAGGACAGTGTTTTGAACACAACTCAGGGAAGAGGACGCCGTGGGAATGAGGACCATGGGCTGGGCGTGTTCAGGTGGAGGCTGTGTCTGAGGGGCTCGTGGCAATGCGTTCTCTGACTTAAACGTTCATCATGTCTTCAATCGCATGGCGAAGGCCTCCTTCCCTGACTGAGGAATCTGCCGCTGGGGGTCTGTTTGCAAATGCTTCAGGCAGGACGGGCTGCGCTGTCTCCTGTGGACGCTACTCCTTGGGGAAACCCCTCTCCCACGAGCACCGGGCTCCCAAGGACCCCAACCCCTCCGGGAGACGCTGCAGAACATCAGTCCTGCCATGTGCTCACGGCAAAGCCGTGAGAGGAGAGGACACAAGGCTTTCTTTTTCTGAGACATGGAGTTCAGGCTGGCCTTAAACTCTCAGTGGTCTTCCTGCCTCAGCCACCCCAGTGCTAGGGTCACAAGAGTGCACCACCACGTGTGGCCTAAGGAATTCTTTATGTGGCCCCAAGGAAACATAGATCTTTTCTTGTGATATATATCATCTCATCATTAAAAAATTTCCTTCTGGGGGCTGGGGATTTAGCTCAGCAGCATAAGCACCTGCCTTGCAAGCAGGTGGTCGTGAGTTCGATCCCCGGTACCGACAAAAAAAACCAAAAAACCAAAAACCAAAAAGTTTCCTTCTGGAAAAGCACCTGGGCCTTTTGTCATGAATCATGCTCCTAAGGGACGGCACTGTTGTGACCAAGGTAATCGTGAGCGAGACTGGGTGGGAACAGTCACAGAGCAGTAAAGCCAGCTCCTGTGGGGTCCCGGCCTGCAGAAACAGGACCTGGCCTCCCCGCCGCATCCTGTTATGAACTTTTCCAAACACACACGGGTGGACTCGCACAGAGCTCTCCTGGCACCAGCCCATCTGCCCCACCCTGTGCCCGTCTGTCTGTCCCTCTGGCCACCGGACACCTCATCCCACAGCACTGGGCCAGGCCCCGTGCTGCTGTTTCTCAGGGAGCGAGCCGCTGACCTGTCTTTGTGGTACCTGTCTCAAGGGCGCAGAGCAGAGGGGAGACGCTGGCAGCCGATGAGCGCTGTCCCCACCTGACCCGGCCTTTTCCCATGAGGCTCCTCCCAGGACAAGGATTTGTGCCAGCAGAGCCGCAGAGATCTGAGGGGCCAGCCGGAAATGGAAGGGGAGCCCTGAGCTCTGCTGAGCGACCGCTTGTAGGCTCGGCTAACGACTACCAAATATGCATGGCATGTCCTGTGCCCATGAGTTCCACGAATCTGCCCACATCCACGTCACCTCCTTGGGTTCCAGACTGATGGATTCCCCAGTATCCAGAAGCCCCCCTCCAGCCAGTATCCCCACCCTGCAATTCCCTACCGCCATACAGACTCGGGACAGAGCAGGCAGGGTCCATGCTTGTGTGCGTCTCGGTCGGGTGCACTGGGCTCAGACATTCTGCTGGACAGAGCAGTAACTTGCTCTTTTGGAGGAGGAGACACCAACCAGGAAACTGGGCTCTGGGCAAGCAGCAGAACTTCGCCCCATGTCTACTGAGGAGACTGCATCCTATTTCAGAGTAAGCTTTGTTTTCAACCCCATGAGCATGGCACCCTAGGCGTGTGCTTCCTGCACCTCCGGAGAGGGGGAGCTGCCCCTGGGTCCAGAGCAGCTGTCCCTGAAGCCAAAGCCGAGCATCAGGCAGCAAGGCAGGCACCTGTGGTGGCCCTGGTCTTCACCTTTGTTTACCCCAGGAGACCTCTTCCCTGGAGACAACTGGCAATGTCTGGAGATGCTACTGGTGGCCGTGGCCTGGGAAAATTGCATGGACATCTCACAGGAGAAGACCAGAGAGGCTGAGACCATCTTGCGGTGCATGGACAGGCCTGTGGCAAAGAATTACGGTGTAAAGCATGCACAAGGACCTGGCTGGGGAACTTCTGCCCACCTCAGTGCACCTGTGTGGCCTTGGGCTCCCCCAGGTCGAACTCAAGTCCTGGTCCATGCTCCAAAGCCTCCTGTAAGGACCCGTGGGAGGCTCTTTCCTCCTGCCAGCAGCTCCTGTACTCTGCCTGCTGCAGAAACTGCTTGCCTTGTGCCTCAGCCCATCCTGGTGCTGAGACAGACCTGACCCCTGCAGTTTAAAGGAGGACAGATTCACTGGGGCTCTGCTTTCAGTAGTCTGGGTCCTGGCAAGATCGGCTGGTTCCAAGGGAGGGTGGAGTGGCAGCGGGGCCTTGGAGTAGAGCCACTGGACACATGGAGTACAGGAGATAGAAAAGGAAAGGGTTGGGAGGGAGACACAGGCTTCCAGGCTGCATCCTGCTGTGGGCCACTTCTTCCAACCAGGCCTGCCTCTTCCAATCAGGCCCCGCCTTCTCCAACCTGGCCCCGCCTTCTCCAACCTGGCCCCGCCTTCTCCAACCTGGCCCCGCCTTCTCCAACCTGGCCCCGCCTTCTCCAACCTGGCCCCGCCTCCTCCAATCAGGCCCCGCCTTCTCCAACCTGGCCCCGCCTTCTCCAACCTGGCCCCGCCTTCTCCAACCTGGCCCCGCCTCCTCCAATCAGGCCCCGCCTTCTCTAACCTGGTCCCTCTCCTTTAACCTGGCCCCGCCTCCTCTAACCTGGCCCCGCCTCCTGACAGCAAGGCTGCTGTAAGCCCCGCCATCGGATCACCTCCCAAACCCCTGACTGTGTGAAGCAGGGGCCTTTTCTATCCACATCATAGCAAGATGCTCATTTCATTCCAGCGACAAGAACTTCATTAATTTCTGCAGAAAGCCTCCTGGGCCCCTCGACAGGTGTTAAGAAATGTTTGGAGCTAGCTGTGTGCTTTTTATTTTTCTAAATCTCTGTACTCAGCCGGGCCCTCTGTTCACTGGCAACTTCTCTTGGGGGCCAGGGCCGAGGCTTCTTGTGTACATTAGGCTGAGGATGGGGGCAAGATTATTTATTTAGTTCATCTTAAAAATAGCACATAAATTAGCATCTGTGATTCAGCCGTCGAGGAGGTGACGCGCTCAGATCGGATGAGGGAAACCGAGGCTGTGCTGTGTCTCCTGCTTAAGATCACGAGACCAAAGCTGCGTGGTGGGTCGACTGTGGAAAGGCAGCCTCCATGGAGCCTCCTGAGAGCACCTCCCCTCCTCGACACCCCGCAAACCCAGCCCCTCGCCCGTGCTATCCCCACCCTGTCCCTGCATTGCCCATTCCACTGCACCTCGGACTACAAGGGGAAAGAGCCAGCACCCGGAGCCTGGAGCAGGAGGAGGAATCTCAGCGTTTTCTCTCTGCACCATTGCATAAGGCCTGAGAGCAACCTGACGCAGTTGACAGGCAGAGAGGCAGCTGGGAAATAACACCCCGTCCCTGTTCTGCGAAATTCAAAACAAAAACCAGGCTGCAGGAGGAGGCTGGGTCTTCCGCAGGGGTCTGGTGCTGTGCACGGTCTTGGAACTGTCCAGGGACGGCGGGGCAGGAGCTTGACAGCGGAGGGCGGGGCGGTGGGGCTGGACTTGAAAGGGAGCCGAAGTCTCAGCCGAGGAGGGGGGCCGAGGAGGGCGCCCCCCTGCCGGGGCAGTTGATGAATAGTCCCCAGCCTCAAGCTGGGCCTGTCGCTAGCTAATCCAGGAGGCCTCAGCCCTTCTAAACGCAAATGAAGGGGGCCCTTTCCACCCAAGCCCGAAGGGGGAGGATTAGAAAGGGGAGTTCAAAGCTGCAGAACGGCTCTGGCCTTCTTTCTCTTCCCTCCCCCGCTTTATTTTTTAAAGGGGCCAGAAATATGGTTGGTTATTATCTCAAGTTATTGCTACAAAGAATTTCGAAATTAAAAGATAAGCATGCCCAGGAAGCTCAGTAATTTTCATAAAAGGGGACTTAAAACAGATGTGCCCTCTTTAATCGAAGCATGCTTGAAAAAATAGGAATGCATTTTTAACATAGCAGGGGGACACATCACACGCCGGCGCTGGGCTGTGAGTGTGCCTGGGCGTGACTGTCCACGGGCAGGGACAGAGAGGACGCCTGGGCCGCCCCCGCGCACCCCTGGTGAGGACTTTCATGTTGCGGGCGGAGGAGTCAGTGACCACTGTCCGCAGCGCTTTGCTAACGAGACTGTTTAATTATTTGAGTCCGTTGGGCTCCTTGCCGTTCGCAGGTACCTGTAAGGAACCCTGAGATATATTTGCCAACAACCCCGCCCTCTCCTTGACCGTGACTTTGCAGAAGATGAATGTTCCCGTTTCCAGAGACGGCACAGAGCAAATTCTTTTTTAAATCTGCACGTTTGCTTTTACACGCAGAGCCAGAATGAAGGACCTCTCCCCTTGCACTCATTCACTAGTTCACCTGGCACGGGGTCTTCCCGAGTTCCCGAGAGGCCCAGGACCCTCCGACCTCTGCTGCTGCTTCTCCTGCCAGGGTCTCCCAGGGCCACCGAAGGTTGCCGTTGTTACTTGAGATGCTCCTTTCTGGTTTCTGAAGGGTGACTCAGCTACCTCATCAAGGCAGTGGTGCTCAGGATCGAACCCAGGACTCGTGTGTACCGAGTGCTTACTCTGCCAGGGAGCGCCAGGGAGCACGTCCTTCCCCACACAAAAGGGCACATTCTTGCCTGGCCCCCAGCCCTGCCCTGGCAGACACTCGGTAAACACCCTCTTATTTCCCTTCCCCTGGTCAATGTGGGTCAGTTTGGGCCATCGGTGTCCCCAGGTGGGACTCCAGGCGGAGGAGACAGCCCCTGACCTGTCAACCTCCTGTCTCCTCTGGACGAGGACCAGTGGGCAGATTCACCTCACCTCACCCAGGAGATTCGGGCATGGCTTAGCGTGGATGAAATCTTTGCTCCAGGCAGCTAGTTTATTTCTGTTCTGTATTCTAATGTTCCAAGAATTACCTTAGTGTGGCACAGGACAGCAGATTCGAGAAGTCCCACACGGGCGGCCAGAGAACTGCCGTCCACCCTGACGGTCACCCATCCCTCCCGCCCGCGGAACCCTGCGCCTGGTCCAGGCGCCCTGCGGGGTCCTCTGTGTCCACACATGGGTCTGCCTGTCCATCTCTCTGTCTGTTCATCTGTCCATCACCTGCCTTTCTCCTGGCTGCTTGTCCGTCTGCTTGTCTTCCTGTCTGTCTGCCTGTGTGTCTGTCTATGTGCACACCCTTAAACACATTCTCCAAGTGGAGCACGCAGAGGTGGCTGTGCACTGCCCTTCTCCCTGGTTTTGCCCTGGACGTCTTTGATCAAACTGTAACCTTTAGGAATTGTCTCGAGCCTCTTGACCTCTGCGGAGGTTACTGCTTGGTGTTGGACACCTCAGTGTTGCAGGGGCGTGAGCCAGGCTCCTCCTCCTTCAGTCTCTTGCCCAGGCCAGGGGTTTTCTCCCAGAGGCTGAGGCAGCTCACGCCACTGTACCGCACCTTCCCACCCCGCTCAGCCTGGGTTTTTCAGCAGATGAGAAAATCAAGGGCTAACCTTCGAGTTTCCAGGGTGCTGTTGGCTGAGGCACTCTGTGATCTGTTGATGGAGCCAAAGCAGCCGTGGGATGGATGGGGCGCCAGGTCACCCCACTTCATAAACAGAGGTCCTGAGAGGGGTTCACGTAGCAGAGGTGAGCGGGCTTGAACCCGCAGTCTGGTCTACAGCGCCCACTTTTGATGACCTCCACAACCTCTCCGTGGGGACGGAGCCAACCTGTCTCTGCCGCCTGAAACAGAAGAGCAGGACATGAAGGAAGGGTCAGCAGGGAGTGGCCCCAGGGGCGAGCTCGGCTCCTCTTAGCTTCACCCACTTCCCCACTGGCCAGCAAGTCCTCCTGAGGGAGAAGAGGCCTGAGGACAGCCCAGGAGCTGCGATGCCGTGGAACGTGGGTCAGCAGACAGCAAGGCCTTGGGAACAAGAGACCAGCTGACTTGGTGAACCCCATCCCATGGGGTGGGGACAGGGACAGTGGAGAAGGCCACCGTGCCTGGGGCCTGGGCTGTATCCCGTCCTGTCTTCTGTCTGCCTCATTTTGCTCTAAATACAAAGCTTGTTGCTTAAAACAAGAACTCCAGAAACAATAAATTGCATTGTAAACTTTGAGAATCTCACTGCTGGGTTCAGAATTGCTGTCCCAGATCCGCGCTGTCCGTTCAGCTGCCAGAAGGTCCTCGTGGTGAGGACCAGTCCAGGCTCTGGTCTGTATGTGCTGGAAGGAAGGAGATCTTTACCCAAGAGTTCTTTCCTGTCTCTAGCACGTTGCTTGTCTGCACGAATATATTTGGACAGCAGAACAGACCCTAGTTTGCTTCAGATCCTTTTCTCTGGCCTGCCCGACCTCGAGAGGGCAACGTACAGTTTGTCTGTACCGTTGTCACTAGAATTAAGACAGCGTTAGCCATGCTGTGATTGAGGTTGACATAATCCTGGCAGAGCGGGATCTGCACACAGATTGCGGGACTGAGGGATCCATAGCTGGGCTGTGGGCGCGGCCACCCAGCCCCAAAGACTTCGCTCATGCCTGCTAGTGCTCCTTAAAACCAAAATGCTTTTGGTTTTAGTATTTTACAGCCCAAGAAGACTTCCTCCTCAAAAAAAGCCTATCTGTAAGTAAGAATGATCTCTCTCTAGTTTCCAAGAGACTTTCGATGGGATGAGACATGAACAAAACCTCAAGCATAACAAAGCTTCCTGCACAGGAAATCTGTCATCATCAGAGGTCAGAACAGTCACCTAAGTTGTTTGCAAATCAAGTCCGTGGTCGCTAGTTTCCTAAGGGATCTGGGCAGAACCCCATGTCTCCCGGGAGGCTGGTCAGTTCCCCAGGAGGTCGTCCCAGTGGACTGCACCCTGCAGCCGGAGCGGTGTGGAAGCCACCAGAGTCCCTGCCATCTGAACAGACAGGGTCCTGGGTTCAAGGAGCCAGTGGCCAAGAATGGCTGCCCAGGAGTGTCTCCCTGTAGGCCAGCCCACCCCACGTGTGTCCACAAACCAGAAGCACCCCGGCCACCCTCAGTCCAGGCACCGCCTGTTACATCAGCTGGCTGTCTTCACACCTGGAGCGACATCAGGTCTCCAGAGACAGGATTCAGAACTAATTTACTTCTTCAATTCTCTTTGTCAAGAAAGACCCAAGTGTGGGCTTAGTATGAGCATCACATCGATAAGAGATCCCTGAGAGCGGCTGAGTATCGTTTGGATTCTGAAAACGGTTTGGGCAACAGGGTGCCCGTTTACCTTTGCTGTGTACCCACCTCTTTTCCTCCGTGGACTTGTCCTGCGTCACAGCCCAAGGCGCGATTTTAGGTTTGTGGTCCACCGTGGCGGAGGCCTCACCGTCCAGATTCAGTCAATGCCTTCCCGAAGTGGAGGGCACAGGACAGAGGGCCCCGGGGAGAGCCCCCAAGGACCTCCGTCTCCTGCAACAAAGGGCGCGTGCTTGGAAAAAACACGGAACGACACGTACAGTCTGTCTCTCCATGAGTATAAAAATAAGGTTTGTTAAAAAATTTCAAGCGTGACTTTGAAAAGAAATGGAAAAGTGTATACTGGAGATCGCCCGCTCCAATTAAGCGCTCTGTTATCCATGGGAAGCCCACGCTGGCAGCGCATGACCGGGCCGCGGCGGAGCGGGGGCAGCGCGGCTGTTTCCAGCGTCCATCTCCCCTGCTGCAGTGGCCGGCACTGGGAAACCGGATCCGTACTGAGCCGCGATGGCCGCGGAGGTGAACCTGAGCCAGGTTATGCCAATAATTGCCAGCCCCCCAGGATTCCAGCTCAGAAATTTTTGTACGTTCTCAGGAGACGAAAATGAGTGATCATCAAAGGCCGGGGATCTCAGCAGGACTGTCATAAGCCTGAAGTTACAGCTCAGACATGCGATGGGAAGGATGGTGGGTACCTCTCCAGTGTATCGCCTGCAGTAATTAAAAACTCGGTTCCTGCTGTTTTATCATCTCATTAGCGACGGGGGCACCAGACTTTAATCCTTGTTTGTCAGGAATCAAACATACCAGAAGAACTCTGATTATAAATTGATGAAAGTAAAGTTAAACTTTTAAATAAGAGAAGTGACTGTTCACTGTGTTGTTTTACAGCTGATTAAAGCGATCTGTGTTTTTAGCCTATAAAAGTAATATCTGTGTCCGGCCCAGAATGTGGAGGTCACGTCCGGGACCGCGGCTCGGCATGCGTTTTGCACAGGCGTTTGCTTTGTACTCGTGTGACCTAAACAGCAGCCCGACGGCTTCCCGAGAGCACAGGTACAAAGCGCGCCGTGGGTTGTGGGGGCGCTGAAACACCTTCTCCCTTTCAGGTGTGTGCCGGAAAGGGAGGTTCTGGCTTTTATGAGGTCACCGGGGGCCTAGGCCGGGAGCCCTGGCCAGCCTTCCCTTCGGCTCGCTGGAATAACTTGCCTTAGCGGAGGACAGGTGAAGGACAGGCCTCTTCTACAGCCTGTCTCTCCAGCATTTGTTTCCAAAATGCAGATTTCCAGCCTGGTGTGGTGGCTTGTGCCTGTAATCCCAGCACTCGGGAGGCTGAGACAGGAGGGTCCTTGTAAGTTCGAGACCAGCCTGTGTACAAACTGAGCTCAAGGCCAGCCTGCACTGCATAGCGAGACCGTGTCTCAAAAAGACAAAAAAAAAAAATATGCAGATTTTCTTCGGAGCCCCGTTGTTTTCTTGGATCCAAAGAATGCCAGCGCTGTGCCTGATTCTGGTCCACACCACGGATGACATGGGCAGCTGTGCGGGGAGGACAGGGACCACACGACGGCTCGCTTCACTGTCCTCCAGTCTCTCTGGGCTCGTTGCTCACTTTCTTCTGCTCGCTTGCTAAGGAAGCAGGCGGCCGGGTTGTCTGAGGACTGTTCATCAAAATACTTGGAAGCAGAAAAGACAAATGAAACACTGGACGTCCTCGGCCCCACATTGCTGACCTGTGGGCGGGTAATTCTTGGTGATGAGGGCGGCCTCTGTCACAGCCTGCTGGATGCCGTCCTTGGCGCCCAGTCATGGTCACCAAAGACATGTCCAGATGCTGCCAACTGCCACTGGGAGTCAAAGCTGTCCCCACTGAGGATGACCGGACACTAACAAATCAAATCCAAACACCCACTCCCGCCACACGCACACATGCACACGCACGCACACTCAGAGTGAACCCACAGGCCATCTTGCAAAGGAACAAACTGATATCATGGAGTCATTTCCTGTCCTCTGGAAAGGGAGGAGCCAGGGAACTAGTTGCTTCCTGCCCCCAAGCCCTCCTGGATCCTGGTGTACGGTGTGTCACCTCTTCTGGGCCGACTCTCCAAGGGAGGAAAGAATCACTCAAACCTGGAGCTGTCCCCAAGACAGATGAGTGAAGAAGTTCATCAGGAAAGCGGCTACAGGCACGGAGAAGCCAAGCCACTGTCCGGAGGCCGTTACAAGTGGACCTCACAGTGTTCATCAGAGCCTTTCCAGCCAAGACACAGCATGCTCAGGTGGGGAGCCCCGGAGGCCCTGCTGGGGTGCCGGCGTCACCTCACGGGTCTGCCTGCTTCTCCACCCAGCTCCCGATAAAAGTCTCCGCCTCCTGCTGATCGAGGAGTGGAAGGTCCCTGGGAGGGCCAGGTCTGCCTCCTCCGTGTGGACCTAAGGTCGCCAGCACATACTCTGTCAGGACAAGGGGGCCGCCCTGGGCTCTCCGCAGCAGGAACCCCATGTACCCCGCCACTGGGCTGATGAGCGAGCCCACAGGAAGACTCCGCCCTAGGAAGCTGACTCTGAAACCGCTTATTACATGAAAATGTGCCTTAAAATACCCTGCAGTCCCCAAAGCCCTTCCTTGCCTGGGAAGTGCCTTTTATTTTTTCATTTTTGCAAGGCTCTCTTACAGAACACCGCCTTCCGCCTGGGGCCGGGTGGATATTAGGGTTACGCTGTCATTAATTCTCAGATCACAGGAGGATTAGGGATATCAAATGCTGTGAGTGGCAGAAGTTGGGAACAAAATATTCCAAGGCTCTGAACTGACAGCAGCTCTGCGGCTAGTGACATATATGTGTCACCCGAAAATCGCTGTGCTGTGCAGGACCAGGCAATGGGAGTCACACAGCTTAAGAGGAAAACGGGGTCACGGCGTGACTCAACACCACGCTGGTGACGGATGACAGAAAGGCAGGAGCCTGGTGAAGGTACTGGCATGCCCTCACACGCTCGAGGCTGGGAGGTGTAGCCCTCTGGGATGTGTGTGTCATCGGAGGGATCGCTGGGGTCGGTATGTGGGGCCCTCGGGTCTACGGGGACTGGGAGTCTCCTGAGCAGCACGCATGCAGCAGCAAGAGCTGGGTGTCTGCGGCTGTGGGTGCGACCCCAGGCCCAGGCACCCTGCCTGCTGGTGCTGCCTGCAGCCGGCACTGTGCCTGTTCCCTTTCTGTCCCTGCTCGGTTCCACAGATGCACTTTGCTGGCATCTCCTGGCGTTGACTTTGGTGAAACAGCTCCTGAGCCCCTGAGGGTTTCGTGCTGAGCTCAGAGAGGCAGCCCCAAAGCCATCGAGGGTGTGGGAACTGAGTTCTAGTCTCAAAATAATTCTTGCTAAAAAATATCTTTGACCTCTCTGGCCATTAGAGCAAGGCAAACGAGCACAATTCTGAGATTCATTCACCCCGGAAAGGATGGCCATCAAGGAAATAAAACACAATCGGTGGAAAACAGGCAGGTGTGTCTTTAGCCAATGGGAGAGGCATCTAGAGGTGGAGGGAGGAGGAGAGGAGAAAGGGAAGGAGAAACACGAAGCCTGACCACGTGTGGTGTCCATGGCCACACGCGTGCAATCGTCATGGACAGCAAATGTGGACCAAAGAAAAACTGTTCAAAATCAGCCTTCCAGCACCTGCACTTGAGATAGAAAGCAAGGATAGCTCTGTGCAGGGACACGGCCGGCCCTGGGACAGAGCAGGCCTCCCTAACCCGTGCAACCTGTGAGGTGGGCGTGCTTGCATCACACCATGTCACATAGGGGATGCTAGGCACAGGGGGACCTGCAGGCTGGAGCAGCCCCAGACCCAGGGAGCTGTGTGTGGGCCGGGCCCTGGGTGTCTGGAGAGGAAGCAGTGTGCAAAGCGCACGGGTCTCGGCAACCCTCACATGATTACCCCGCACCGCAGAGGGGCGACTTTACCCGAGGACCCCGCATCACAGAGCGGCCGAGACTGTAATGCAGCAGGACTGAGCCAGAGAGGCCTCGATGGGCAGCAGCGTGAAGACAGCTGCATGAGGCTGACTCTGCGCCCCTCTGCCCCGGCCTGGGCTTCCTGGAGCCCCCAGATAGGGGTACAAACAAGCTGGGATCAAGGGGCTAGAAATAAACTCTCGTGCCCAGGGGCACCTGTGAGATGGTGGAGCAGATGCTGGGGGCTCTTCTGATGCCAAGGGAGAAAGGCTCAGCGGGCGGGGCAGCTGCTGGAGCTGGGAGCCCGTCAAGACCGTCGCCTTTCCATCCGTGTCTCTGGAGCAGAGCAGACTGGCGAGCCAGGGTGACTTGTCCAGTGCCACCAGCTCCAGACACTTGCTGCATCTGCTTCTTCACACCCGCAGCACCCAAGCGGTCACACAGCTCGGGCCGAAGATGTTGTGCGGCTGGTCAGGGTGGGCGGGGATTTGAACTCAGGAAGTTTGGCTTCAATGCGTGAACTCACGGCCCTGTGCAGGGGGAGCCGGGGAGCTGCTTTGGACTCCACACGGACAAGGACATTGGGGGAGCCAGAAATGCTCCCCAACAGGCTGCCTCCTCCTGGAAACGGTGCCTGCCTGGTCTCTGAGGCTTCTGGGCAGCTGCAGGGACACACAGGGGGCGTGCTAGAGCTGCTTGGATGAAATAGGCTGTCGGGCCTGTGCCCGCCGTCCATCTCTGCGCGAGGTTGCTGGGTCCTATTCTTGCTCGGCGTCTGTCCACTGTATTCTGGCTGCTGCCAGCTCACCTGTCTCCCTGGCCCAGACCCCAGAATACCTGGAACTCCAAGACCCCAGAACGGCCAACCCTTCCCAGTGGTCACCTCCAGGCCCCACCCACACCTCCCGCTGCTGGTCTTCTGCTGCCCTGGCTGTGTGCGGCCCTCAAGGCTCCTCCCTTCCCTCCTTCCGCCTCGAGTCCTGGCTCCCCGGCTGTTTCTCCCGCTGGCCTACGGATGACGGGAGTGGACCTCTGCTTTTGTTCTCCCAGAGGGAACGGTGCCATTGCCTGCACTGTGGACTCAGGGGCAGTGACCTCAGTGACAGGAGGACCAAGTCTTCTGCAGGCCCTGGTGGTCCAGCCGCTCCCCGGCCTCCCTCTGCCCCCTGGCTCCCTGGCTTGGCCCCGAGGTTTGGGTGTGGTTCGGATGTGCCCCCAGGCATCGGGCACAGGGACGGTGTGGTGGGGGCCTCCAGGAGGTCCTTGGGTTGGACCAGGTGCTCAGGATGATCTGAGTGCCAGGGGGCTTTGTCAGAAGACGGGGAGGGACCAGAAGACACACGCATGCGTGCATGTGCACACACACACACACACACGTGTGTGTGTGCACGAATGGACCTCTGTCTCTCACCGTACCATGCCTTGCTTCACCTCTGCCAGCAGGAAGCCTTCGCCAGATGCCCCCATCACCTGAAACTCCAAACCCGTGAGCCAAAATCCTTCACAACTCACCAGTGTGTGGCACCAGGAGTCAACAGGTGCTGGATGGCCACGCCTTAGGGTCCCTCTTGTCTGCCCCCCGTAACCCAGCTCCTCCTCCCGTCTTCTCCACCAGTGCGCTCACACCAGCCCCACCCTTCCCGCTCTCCACAGCCCCTCTGCTTGCACTTCCGCGGCGGTCAGCTCTTGCGGTCAGGCTCCTCCCTACTTGGTCCTCAGCTGCCGCTCCTCTGCACCTCCCCGTCAGAAATCCCTTCACATGCTCTCAGACACGCGAGGGCTGAGTACAGGACCTGTGCCCGCAAGCCACCCATCCATTCGCATGTCTGCCTGATGGATAATTTCAAGAACACACAGACAGTTCCACGGATGGTCCACAGCAGATCCTTAGTAAGAGCTTTTGCATTGTTGCATTGTTATCATTTGGATAACAAATGTCACCCAGAAGGGTCGCATGGCCAGAGGCAGGGTGTTTGAGAGGCCACCGGAGCATGGACGTGGCTCTTGGCTTCAGAGC